ATTATTATTATTATTATTATTATTATTATTATTATTATTATTATTATTATTATTATTATTATTATTATTATTTTATTATTATTCAATTATTATTTAACCTTTAAATATTTTTCTTGACAAAATTTCTAGGTAATGCATGCAATTCAACATCATTATGGTGAAACAGCGATACGTGGTAAATTTCAAGAATATGTTCAGCGTTTCGTACGACTAACGGCTTTATATGAAGTTGAAACTTTTGGATCAACTAAAATTGGAATGATGCCTGATGATACGGATTATCCGAAAATACTTGGTACAGGTCTAGCATTTCAAGATGAAAATTCAAGGCTTAGAGAAGTTGCAGCTAATGTTAATAGGATCGAAGGATGGAGGCAGACCATTAGTTATAAATATTATCAGTTGGTAAGTATTATGAGTAATGAAATGACTGAAAGAATTAAACAATCGATTATTTAAACATTTCTTTATTCATTACAGCTTTTATTTTATTTTTATACTATTTATTATTTAGGATTTCCAAAATTATTTGAAAACCCGGAATATAAAATCATTTGATGTACATCATCAAGTATCAAAATTAAAAATGTTAAGAAATATGTCGGAACAAGAAGTTGAAACTTTATATAAAGCTTTTGTTAACAGTATTTCTACTGATGAACAAATTATTGAGGTAAAAGATCCTTAGTGCGAAATTTGATATTATTAATTTATTTTACAACTGGACATTAATATTAATATACTTTTTTCAAAGTTCTTGTCATTTCTGCCACAAAATCAAGGGGGATTATTTCCAATTGGATTAGGTCTATTTGATTCACTTAAGAGTGTAAGAGATAATACAATTGAATTGTTCAACAGGCTTAATAATCATGCCGTAAGTTCATATATATTATTTAAACTCTTAATTTTAACGCAAATTGACCTTTCTTTTTTTATATAGACCGGAAGTAAATTTATACAGAGTTTAAATTGTTTTCAAAAATTGGCGTATGAAAGACAGCTTAATCAAAGACGGGAAAGACAGCAACAATTAGAATTTGCTAATAAGCTTGCACAATCTAATGATTCTAATGATGAGGGCATGGAATCTTAATATAGATATTCTTGTGTTTGTGAGACAAAATTTTAATTAATTATTTTTGAGATTTAGTTAATATTTATATTGTAATTGTTTAATTTAATTAATAGTAGACTGGTTATTTCATATAATAGGTTGTATAGAAAAGGTTTAGATTATTTTAATTATTATTTATTGAAATAGATAGAACCAATTTGGGAATTTATATTTATATTGATAGTTTTTATATATAGCATGTATTATACACATATTTAATTTTATATTCGTTAAATTGTAATATTAAAGTTGTAATTATCGAATTATACAAAATGAAAAATTTCAAAATATTTCGTTTGTATCTACCGGTACTAATTTTTTGGCCAATTTCAGCACTAATGTGATCTGACTAATAAAAGCCTCCATACACTTCGTCTTAAGTATATGGTTTATCCGAAGTT